TATCCGACTTGGCACATTTCTTCTAAGTTTTGTGTAAATCACGAATCTCACGTGACTCAGCAGAGTCATCCATGAAGTGTTTAGTTAGCCCAAGTCATCCGAGTGTTTTTCCTTGAATTGGCTAATATTATTACTCGATATTATGATATAAACTAATTCTTTCGTCATGTTCAACTTCTTATTTTATCTAACATTTTGTGCATTTCACCTGGCATTGTTTTGTGCCATCTGGACCTATGGATGGGAATGTCCTTTGAGTCAATGACCAATACTCAAACCATTCACCTTTGAGTTGTTTAGGGCTCTAAACTAAGTTCACTACTGCCTTTGAATAAACTAATCAGTGCTCAAAGTATATTTTATAGTCTTGCTCAGACTACACACTGAGGAAAAAAAAAGGGGGTTTGAAAATTTCCTGGCAAGACCTAAGTTTCATCAGCATTAGGTCAATGTTGTGCACACAGGCCTCAAAGCTAGAATTCCTGAAATCAATGTCCTTGAACAGATTAGCATATGGCCATTCCTGTCGCTCTGCATCAAGAGTCCAAATCACATGCTTTGAGAACTTTATTTAGAATCCAAGGCAGTGAAAGATGATATTTAAGGGCTTCTTTTTTACAACTTTGGAGCTCACATTGAGTGTCCCAAAGGCAAAGGAATCACACACATGTGGCCAGACCATGAAAAAATGTCCTTTAAACACTGCTCTAATTTTGAAAAATAAAGGGCCTCTTAAAGATCCCCCCCCCCCCCCCCCACATCACATGATCCCAACTTTCAACCACCTCTTCCCAATATGAACCCTCTTACCGCATGGCCAAAAAACTTTCGGCAACTCTCATCATTTTATTTAGTTTCATCTAATAAACGAGATACTTAATCAGATTCCAGTGAAAACCGCAACCGGGAAATAGATAGATTTTTCCCCTTGGGTTGTGATTCGTGAAGAAATTTGGTGCATTGTCAAGGTTATTTAGTAAAAAGGACGGTCCAGTGCAAGTTTTTTTGTTTCCAATTAGAGTTATAGAGCATGTACATTGAGCAACTCTTTTGAGGGCGATGCTCGATTTAGCTTTGCGAATAACAAACTGTGTTGTATATTTTTTTGTTCGGAACAAGCTTTAAGAATAAAGAACTATGTTGTATATCTTTTTGTTTCGGAACAAGCAATGAGATTGGTCATTGCATATTACTACAGTATTGTTCGGCACCAGAAAATACCAATATTATTAGATTATACATTGTCTGAAATATTATAAGTTATAAAGAAGGCAGAAAATGGAAGCTGAAAAGTGAACTTAAAAACGCCAAAGTGAAATAGAAGAAGTGATTTGAAATCGAACAGGAAGCTTAGAGTGATATTAACATTAATATTCAGTCACAGTGTGAATAGTTTATGTTTGACCAAATCTCTAACCCTTGAATCCAAAAAAAAGATAGCTGTTGATGATACACCAAGAAAAATACACCACCAAACTTGGTCTTGTAAATCAAGTGAGGAGATTAGCTATCAAGACTTCATTCAAATTTTGTAGAATGAGCTCTCATCCAAGGAGGGATAAATTCCGACATGAAAGTACCCTCTTTTCATCGCCAGAAGATCTACTATAGTTGAGTTGAATATCATCTGAATTTGAAGCAAATTTTGAATAGCATTGGTTCATTAGAAATTTCAGCTACTTCAATGTTGTATACTTTGAGACTCCGACCAAACAAATCTTCATTGCCCAGTTTTCATGTAATTTTGACAATTTAAAAGAGCTGCTTAAATGTGCTTCAGAGTTACATGTTTGATGATATATTGCTCTTAAGGGCAACAAGATTGCAGGCCACCATCCCCGCTGTAAGACCATAAGAATTGTCACGCTGAGGGACTTTACCACTCGGATGGACCCTAAGATCCGTCTCATGGTTAATTGAAATGCCTAAAACTCGAGAATTGTGGCAACTTGTGAAATGTTTGAGGGAACTGCATCTGCTGAACATGTGAGATTTGTACTAAGAGCATCTGTTCTTTATTGCAGAAACCATAGGCTTTGTTTGAGTTGCGATTTTAAGTGGCACAAAAAAACAAAAGAAAATGGGGTCTGATGTTGGAATAATTTTTGGACAGAATAGTGTGCAAAATGTCTTTGACTAAGATACACAATGCAAATGTTCCCCTCTTAGACTACATAAACTTTATAGATTCAAAGGACACAAACTGCCAAAGAAAGCCGTAGAAATAATTTTCCAAGTCCAGCTGGATCAGATGCTCCTTGCCCGGGGACCCAAATCGCTAGACCTGCATCTATGTTCAAACTCCCCTCAACCCTTCTAGTTTCTTCAAATCCCATCTTCTTAATCTCAGATTCAAAACAATGAATTTTGAGATCAGGAAAGATGTGATAATTTGTTGCTAATGGCTATTGTCTCAACCACATGGTATTTGGACTCGTGATAATAGCATAAGCCTTGTAAACACCGCTAAACCATGCAGATCAGTTAAACTCAGATTTTATGCGACCAAGAAGACTCAATCCCAGGACAGGCGGGTTTTTTTCCCTTGCTCCTTGTTCGATCATTGAATAAGCTACCGGTTTAGAGACCATTTTCTGTACTCTGGTAACATATTTGACAATTAGGCAATTCACCTACCTAATTGACCCTGAGTTGTGAAAACATTGCAGCATCCTATCAGAAAATCACTAAGATATTTATCAGATTATCAATACATCTTGGCCCACCTGAAGGTCCACGGAACTGACAAATACCCATTAAGATTTTCTCAAAAAAGGAAATGAATGCAGGACTACCACATTTGTTTTTTTTTTTGTTAGCACTATTACAAGGAGGGGACTACAAAATTCGAATCTGCAATCGTGGGCGGGGATCATTAAACTAACTGCTAATCTTTTACGATATTTTTTATTAAGTGGGGGACGGTGGACCATTGAAGTATTCAAAATAACAAGAATCCCAAATTCCGTGGACTTTGCACCCTTTTCTGATTTACATATAAAATGTAAGGATAAAGCTACTGAATTTTTTTCACCCCAACGTTCAACACAATCTACATAGGATCCTTTAAACCATTATAGTGTATTTGACTAGCTTTCTCCAATGTGAAAGCGACGATTTTAAGGTGGCAACCCCATCCTATAAATCTATTCCGTCTCTAAAACCTTAAATTTTGGGTTATTAAGAGATTAAGCAGTCAAAAGGTGTTTTCTTTAGTGTCATATAGATTGGCTACGTCTGTTTTCTTAAAACTTTCAAGTGTGCCTCTCTCTCTCTCTCTCTCTCCACCTGTTTTGTGAACATCTTCATTCTATGTTCAAAAGAGTTTCATCGCTTTGCTGACAATAAAAAAGACAGATCAAGGTTTCTGTTCAATGAAAATGTTAGGACAAGACTTCGTTATATGAAGTTGAGTTGAGAATGTATCAACCCACGAGAGGCCAATGGAGCTCCAGCCCGAGTATCATTAATCCATGAGGAAATATTTTAGATTCCATTTAGAAAATGGGATCCCAAATGAATAAGGGCTCTTAGATGGGTGAGTTCCATATCAAATAATAAACAAGACCTACTTATGTAAAGATCTCTACTCATTTTTAAAATCTCATTCAAGATCTTAAATTTGGAGATTCGTAGTATTGCCCACGAGCAGTATGAATAAACTTCGAGTTACTTTTAAAAACAAGGAAAAGTGAGTTCCATAATTTGACAGCTTGCAACAAGAAATGAAAATCATTTGCAAGAGTCAACAAATAAACAATCTTCAAAAGAAGGAACAGTAGTTAAAACTTGACTAGTTTTACTGGTGGATGGGGGCACATACCTCATATGAAGCCATAAAAGAAGTGGTTGTGGTGAAGTGACCACAAGGCTATAATGGTGGTCATGAGAGTATCTGCGGGCTGCAGTGGAGTTTGGTTAGAAATGATGAAGGTAGTTCTAGCATCAGTAAGCTGGCAAAGGAGGCCATGTTGGCACAATTGTGGGGTTGGTATAGCACATTAGTTCTTCTGGTGGTCGAGGCGGTGGCAATTTAAGTATAGGAGTTAAGGGGGTGTTAGCCTTGTGAAGTGTAAATTACTCTTGTGGTCCAAGTTTTTTTTTCGGGATCAAAGACACACACAAATTTAACTATTTATCTAATATCAACAGCAGAATACTTGTGGCCTGAGTTTTAATTACCTAAATTAAAATTAGATTGGACATAGAAAAAATAAGAGATAAATAAGGGATACCACGTGACAATGATTAGGTGTAACAGTAATATCACGTTATCATTGACTCGTGGTGTCACCATCTAATAATAAACCTATACTTAGGCTAGTTATTAAATGAAATGATAGGGTGGTTACTATAATATATGAGATTCACCTGTCTATTTGTTATAATTTTATTGAACGGTGATACTATGTGACAATGATTATATAGTGTCACATTACACCTAATATTTTTTCGGATTAGTGGACTTATTTGGCATTAGAGAGTGTGTTGGTTAAGTTGTTTCACATTGAGGACCAAATAGAGAAGTTGATATTTTTGGGCTATTTTTTTTTTTTTAATGAATTTTGTTCTGTTGGACAAAATTAGATAAGCATTGAATGAATCTCAGACGTTGTTATATTTTTATAAATGTACAATTAAAAACTTTAACTATAACATTAGATAAATGTTCCAAAAAAATTTAATCTTCTTTCAAAATTTGACATTTTTGTGAATTTATTGAATTTTGACGGCCTGATGGAATGGGCCCCAGGTTGCTACACTAACGGGCCAAAACCACGGATCATAACATTCCCCATCGGGTTATCGATGCTCTTGGCCTGCCACTAGTCGGGCAGACTAGCCCATGACACAGTGGATAGTCGGTGGCTAATGAGCCAATCAGTGGTTCACGGGCCGTTTGCCTGACCCTAATATTCGAGAAAATATTCACACCGGTGACGTGGCTAATTCTGATTTGACAAATAGGATACTTCAGATCTAACTTAGCAAGCCAGATCTAACAGACAATCAGACATTCCTTTCTTCGTCGGACGATTACAAACCCTAACCCCAGATCGGAACTTCTTCTTCAATCATGGAGCACGCTTCAATACTCAGGTACTATGTAGTGCATTTTCTTTTGATTTTCTCTTTCCTATTCCTAAATGCAAAACCCGTACTCACACTATCATTCCCATCACTCCACGACCAACCTCAATTCCACTCCAACATTGGCCTCCTCGGTGACGCCAAATTCATCAATGCCGATTCGTCCGTACAACTCACTAACCCCATGCCTTCTAGCTCTGGCCTTCTGATTCACGATAAACCCCTCAAATTCCTGGGCTCAGACTCTACCCATCCGGCGTCGTTTTACACTGATTTCACATTTTCAATTTCACCACACGATGGGGAAGGAATTTCTTTCATAATTGCTCCCACTGATTTTCCCAGAAAATTATCCGGGAAAGGCTCGTTTGGGCTTTCTGGGGTAGATCGGTTTCTGGGTATTGAGTTTGATACTAAAATTGATGAGAATGTAGGTGATGAGAATGCGAATCATATTGGGATTGATGTGTCTAGTCTTGTGTCCCTCAAAGTTAGCAATGTTTCGTCAGTCAATTTGGTTTTGAACAGTGGAGTGAAACTGCATTCATGGATTGATTATGATGCAAGATCGAAAATATTAGAGATTAGGTTGAACAAATTTGGTAGCACAAGACCGCATGGTCCGTTGCTGATGTATCAAATTGATTTGTCTGAAATGTGGAAAGAAGAGGAGGTTTTGGTGGGATTAAGTTCGTGTACTGGAAATTCAGTGCAGACAAGTAGTGTGTATTCTTGGAATTTTAGGGTTACAAATGTTCCCAAATGGTTGCATTCTCAACCTGTGGATCCACGAATTTATTCCAATGAGAAATTGAAACATAAAAAACCGGTTTGTCTATTGGGGTTTCTTTCTGGGTTGATTTTTGTGACTGGATGTGGAGCATTGGCGGCGTTTGTTGCACTGTTTCTATGGACAATTTTTGTTAGTAGGCAAACGGAGATCCCAGTGGAGTGTTCTATGCTCCCGATAAATTTCAGGTATGAAAAAATCAATGTAGTAGCAGAGAATGGCTCCGAAGATGCTAAGAAGTAGAACATTAAGCTGTTTTGTTGTAAACTTGTGCTGCTTGTACTGTTTCTGTGAATTATGATGTGATGCATTATGTACTCATGTAGTTTCAGTTGCTCTTTCTGATGTATGGACATCACTTTTGCTTAACCACAATTTGAGTTGCTGGAATCTAAGTTTTTATGGTCCGAACTGTTCACAAAGCAGAATTTCTGGTTGCTGATATTTTTATCTGGACAAGTTCGACTCCCAGAAAGTTAGTTACCTTTTTTTTAATCAGTTGCAATATTTAGATCCAATCTGGTTAAAAGAAAGTCCGCAATCTTAAGTAGTTCAAAGCGAATGAAGGAGAACTTCCCAGGACAGTTAGTAGCGAAGTAGTCTTATAGTCATATGATCTAATAGCTTCTAAGAATTGCCATTGCAACCGTATTACAAAAACCAATTATTTTCTTCATGCCTAAGGCAGTTTTGGAAGAAGTTGAATACTCGATTCTGGGTGCTGACCTCACCTTCAAGTTCTGTCAAAATAATTTATGAAACCAAAGCTCTCCTTAAAACATTTTGTGAAACCATCTTAGGTACTTCACTCTCATTTGCTAGTTTATAAATTCACTGAAAGGATTAGAATCTTTTCTCTCTGGCTCTACTTCTAGTTATATAAACCAGACTCTCTGTGAAATTAAATCAGACCTTCTGTGAAATTTTCTACATGAACAATGAATTGCAATGTATTCCATGTATTCATTTATATAAGTAAGATCTACCAAATAAGAACAAAATTTTTTAAAGGCTGATTTTTTCCCCTGTGAACCTGATCTGCAGTTATTATCAAAGAGGATGAATTTACTAATTTCTCTGCTATTAGTTTAATTCCAGTTCTGATAGTTATACAACTCATATCCAACTGCATTTTGTATAATACTTATTTTAATGTTCTTCTTTATCCTATTTAGTTTGGCTACCCCTGAGTGGGCTAGATTCTAAATGTCTAAGTCATCATGTTTGTGATATAACATATGATCATAGTGAAGTGTTGTTCATGCTCCACAGTCAGCCTTTGGCGCTATCTATGTAGACAATGTGCGTGTGTATGTATTTTTGTGGGATGGGGTGGAATGGTTAAGGGAGACGAAGAGAGATCAATCAGTGCCAGTGATCCTGAATGACCTCCATGATTGCATTCATGACCCATTCCATGCGCGTCTAACCTTTCTTTGCCACCACTTATGGTGGTTATCAATGAGGATGACTGGAAAGCGGTCTAATACCCTAGTGGGTGAGTTGTGATTCAAAGAGAGAGCTAATGAGACATGCCTCCAGTAGTCGCATTTAATGTAATTAAAAAGGGGTAATGGAAGCATTTTCTTTCTGTGGATGAAAAAGGGAGGGTTTGGTGCCTGATTGTGCAGAGGAAGCACTGCCTTGCTTGTGATATGTTAGATAATATGTGAAGAATTAGCCTGAAGTCAGAAGTTATTCAGTGATTGTGTTGTCTAGTTATCATTTAGCTTTCTTAATTATTCGAATGTTGCGCAGATCATTGGTTGTCTCAGTCATCCAGCTAGGTACCCTCTTGTTCTCAAAATATAAACATAATGTACAAGTTGGATTGTTCAAGGTTTAATTTCTTATGAAGATTTGTATGTCTGGGCCGTCCTTAAATCTACAGAAGGTTTCTGCCCTATATGACAGTGAAAGTATATTTCTTTCCTCTCTTTTTTTTCTGAACATTGTCATCTAGGTTCAAATTCTTATGAAGATTTTTGAGGCATTGGGCCTTTTGTCCTTCTTCCTTTTTCCTTCATAATTTATGTTGCAGTTGTGGGCTATGCATGCGTCAATGGATACTAACAAACTAACAAGTCATATTGATGTAGGTCAGTGCCACGAGGGTCTTTAGGGTATCTTAGTTTGATCGTTCGGAATTCATTGTCTGAGTATTTAGGAGTTAAGTCCATTTTAATAACCTTTTTTGCCATGCATAAACAGAATCAACAATTAAAATAAACATAAAAATTAAAGCTTCTGTACATAGTACATTGGAACTCATTGCCTATGGATTGAAAAAAAAAAAAAACCGTTTCAATATCAAAAACGATTTTATGCGCGTCTGTTACGAAAGAGTTCAAGGATTTTTCATTCAACAAATTTTGTTTCTTTTGAAAAAAGATATTGTCAAACAGAAATCTAAACTTAGAAGAAGAGGTTAACAAGGTTTGGAAGCTGCTATATCTACAGTGTTGAAAGGTAAGGCATGCATATGTTGCTTGATATTTATTTCCTACTGCTACTATGTTCCTAACTTCCAAATTAAATTAGGAGCAATAGAAGTTTGAACCAATGCCTGCCGACATAAAACATGACATGAGGTTGTACCAAAAAAACTGCGTCAACTTGTCAACATGTTGAATTGCATTAAATTAGGATAAGGAAGATTCCGTAAATTTTCAAGTTGGTTTTCCCTTGAAACTTGAATAGTACTCCATGAATATGAACTTGAAACCACCATAGGTGCACGATACGATTCTTCGTGTTTTTGGCATATTTAAAGGCGAATCGAAGCATAACAGTGGGTACGACTGTATACGGTCAGATGTTGTGGCTTTCAATTTATGTGAAAACTTAGACCAAAATATATATGTGTGTGTGTGTGTGTGTGTGAAAGTTATGTTGAATCATGAGAGGCTATAGGACGAGAGATTTGCATTTCGTAAGGGAGGATTTAAATCCTAACATCTCATTCTACCCTTGAGAGTCGTAGAAGATGGAACTTTAAGCCTTTTTAATAAACTAAAGAAACCTAGTGTGATAGTGATAGTAAGTAATATATCATGAGTTCAAGTTTAAGAATTAATTTCTTTAAAAAAGAAATATGACTATCTATCTTCTGTTTATTTCCCTTAAACTATGGTCTATGGTTGATTTTTCAAAGTCGTGATATAGAGCTGAATAACTATTACTTAACAAAGGAAAAAAGATCACCATTATAGGATTGCTTTTCAGTTAATGTTTGTTTATATGAGGAAAGCAGTATTCCTATTCTCTGTTTATAATAATCCAAAAACCCTAATAGCCAAGAAAAATGGCATGTTGTAGGTCCAACTATTTGCATTCTTTATAAACTCGAATGGCGAATTGCATTTTATACTCCAAAAAATTTAAAAATTTTATTTTATATCTTCAAATTTAAATTTTATATACTACACTCTCAATATATTAAAAATATTACAATGCGACCCGACCCTTCTTTTAACTTTCATTACTCATTTCGTCAATAATAATGAAGTGATTTTTGACGGAATAAACAATGAAAACTAACAAAAGATTGACATTACAATACTTTTAATACATTAAAATGTAATGTGAAAAAACTTATCCTTAAAAAATAAAAAGGAAGAATTTTTAAATATGTTGGAGTGCAAAGTGAAATTCCCACAATAGTGACTTTATGAGATTCTTCCTCGTTCATAGAATCATATTCGTTTGATTTCCAAAACCTGATAATGAAAGTTGACATCATTCTGAGCATAAAAAGGCACAGCATAAACGTTGGTAGAGCAATAAAGGCTTAGTCATAGTGGTTATTAGAAAACGATATGATGGACTTTTCCTTCAAATGTTTATCTTCGACTTTTCAAAAGAGTGGATGTGAGTTTTCTTCTCTACTTTCTCCTTCGTTTTGTTATTGTCCATAGCAAAAAAAAAAAAGGAAGCTTAGTCAATACCTGTTGCACATAGCATGGACAAACTACCTTACAATAATTCAATTGGGATAAAAGTTTCCTATGGAAGTCATGTTATACTAATGTTTTATTTGATACGATAAAAAATAAAAAAAAATAGAAAGTTGGACGGATAGATAAGGAAGAAAAATAAGAATAATGAAAAAATAGATGAATTTACTTTTCTTCTAATTTATCAAAATTAATCACTTTAAAATTAAGAAAAAAAGTAGATGAAAAGTTAATTAATTATATTTGTTAAAATGTATGTTATTTATCTATCTTTTAATATATGCATATATTATATTTATTTATTACATTAAATTTATATATAAATATAATAATAAAATATGTATCTACATTTTTTTCATCCTTTCACTTTTTTATCCTACCAAACAAAAAAAAAACCAATCATTCCCACTTTCCATCCCTCCTACTAAATACAAAGGAGCGAAAGAAAGATTTTTCTATTGAATGATAGAAAGTATATTACTCTCGTTTTATATCTTTATATTTTTCCATCCACCAATCCAAACACACCGTAATAGAATTTTAATAACAATTGTCATATAGAATGACATAGCAAAATCATCACCAATTAGTTTCAATGGTCATCGTATCATCATTTACCTAGAAATTTTGGGTTGACTGTGTTTTTTTTTTTTTTTTGTAATAAACAAAGAATAGTAATTATCAATTTTAGTGTCTCCATCTTTCTCCAAAATAGGTTGAAGTTGAACACAGTAATGTAGACTATAAATAAATGTTATGGTGATAAAATTCTAGATATTAGCATTAGATTACTTTAGAATAAATTTATTTATTTAAGAAATATTATTTGAAATTTGTATTTATATGTGAACGTTGATGTCGTGCACAGTTTGAGGATTGTTGATGTGGTAGTCTCAAGGAAGACTTCTCTACAACAATAATTGAAACTTTGCACATTTCTATGACTATTTCCTGCTGTGCTGTCCCGGCATATCATGTCATTAACAACTATCAAGTATCTCCCACTTGATTAAACGTGGATATACCGACAAATAAAAGAAAAATTTTATTATTTTTTTTATAAAAATTTACAAACTATAGTAATGCATAACTAGAGGTGTAAAATGACCTGAGTTGATATATAAAGAACACGGGTATGACACGTTTGGCGGGGGATGACATAAAAATGGTCGAAGCCAGCTTAGGCATGAGCATGAATTTGGACATGACCTAGGCAAGAGCATGAAATAACACCAATGGGGTGATGCCCACAACAACTTAATCATGGGGATTAAAAAGATTATAATATTTGGATTGCCAAACATAGGACTATTGGAGAGAAAATGTTAATTGGACTTAAAATACTGATTCGATTAATCACAACCATCGAATAGGTAATATTGTTATAAACTTATGGGTAAAACTTGTCCCTAAAAATCGGCTTACAAAGAAAGTGTGTTCAAAAGTTCATACACACTCATCTAGTCTTCTTATTTTTAACTGATGTGGAATCGTAACAATGAAGAAATAGTGGGTCTCAATAAATTATAAGACCTATAATTAAATAAATACAGTGATTTATTAATTTAACATTTTAAATCAAGAAAAAAATAACATAACTAAAATAAAACTTAAAAACTACAACTCAAATATATATATATATGTGTGTGTGTGTGTAGGGCTATTAATCAAACTGAACTACCCGAGCTTGATTTGAGTTTGGTTCTGATTCAGATCGTTTAGACTCAATTCATTTTCTAAACGAATCCAAACTTTAATAAGTTTTTAGGCTCATTTAAAAAACAAGTCCTACAAGTTCAGCTCAAACTCGACAGACTTGACTCGTTTATGTGTAAATATTCGGGTTCGATTTATTTTTGACTCGTTCAAATTTATTTTTTAAATAAATTAAATTTAAATAATATTTTAAACTCGATTAAGAAACAAATTTTTCAAGTTCGTGTGGACTTTTTCGGCTAACACCAGATAAGTGTAGAATGAAGAATAATAAATATTTGAATTACAAGTTTTAAAATTTTATTTTAATTTTATAGTGTTGCTCTTAAATCAATAGGAGCCGTCAAAAACTTGTGTCATGCGTTGAATGCCGGCGGTTCGTTATTGTCGACAGAAGGAGATCCCTTAAAACAACAATCGGGATGTTCACTAACGTGGCACGCAGATATCCGTCCATAATCCTGACTTCCAAACCTAAATTAGTCCTATCAATGGCCAGAAAGTGCCAACAGTTGGTCAAAGGCTAGCATAAAAGAAGAGGAACAAATTATGCTTTTACCCCCTTAAATATAGACTCCATTTCACTTTTCTCTTGAACTATTGTACTTTTTATTTCCTTAACTACTTAAATTATTTTCAGAGAATAATGTTACTTAGAATTAATTTATTCATAATTATTAGATTGATAGTAAATTTTAATACTTATTTAGACCCAAAATTAATCTAATAATTATGATGAATTAGGTCTAAATAGTATTATAAATTTTTATATTGTTGAAACGTAAGTATTTGTTATTTTTTAAACAAAAAATTGTCAATCTTTCTAGATTTATGGGACAAAGTAAAATAAGTTGAAGTCAAATTTGTAATGAATGTTTAATAATTGAGACAGTGTGATACTAACAACATAGTTACAGACATAATGTGAGAAATATAATAATTGAGGGATAATGTGAAAAAATGGTTATAATTACGGGGTTAAAGTGTAGTTTTTCCAAACTAAAACATTCGAGTTCTTTTGCACGCAAATATTCTTGCCCAATCAATCCCCGCACACTGGCGGTTCCAGCCAATCACGTTCTCTCTCTCTCTCTCTCTAATGCAATTGTTTGGTGAGAAGGATGAAAAGTAAGAATAATGAAAAGTAGGATGAATACATTTTCTATTTTTTAAGGATGAAAAATAGGAAGGATACACTTTTTTTATTTGTATTTGGTTGGATAGATGAAAAATTAAAATGACTGTTTTTTTTTTTTGCTAAGGTTAAGAGTGACAATCAAGTCGAGTCGTATCGTGTTAGATTCGTGTTGAGTCATTAGGAGTTTGTGATGAATATTAGTCAAATCTAATTTAACTCATTTAACTAATTGTGTCGTGTCAAGTTGCGAGTTGACCTGTTTATTTTCGTATTGAATTCGAGTCGTGTCATCGTGTTGAGTCAAAAATTTTCACCCTAAGTTAAGATGAAAAAAATATATTTTTTTTAATTTTAATTTTAATTTTTTTTATTCTTTTTAATATTTATTTTTTAAAATTTTATTTTTAAAATTTTTTAAAATATATATACATATTTTACCATTGTATTTTTATATGAAATTAATGTATACTGGAGGGACTCTAGGTGGCTCTACAGCCCCCAAGTTGACACGTGGAATAATGAAGTCGTTGAGATATCCAAAGGGCGCCGAGAAGGTAAATCGAAGTATGGTGACACGGAGCAGCCGAGTACGACAGTTGACATCGTATTAAATGCGATGTGACCCCTCATTTATGGTAGAATGAGTGATAGTGACAAGACAAATAAATGAGCCCCTACCAGCACCTGTCCTTTGGGAGTCTAGGCCTACTGTCATGATGGTTAAGTATTAATGGTTGATGCGCCGAGATGACGCGATCAGCTCCCCCGAAGAACTGTTTCCTCCGAGTATTCAATGTTCAGTTGATGTCGGATGCTGATCTGGGGGATTTGGGCACTTGGGGGAGGGGCATAAATGCTCGGCATTTAACCAATCATTTACCTCATTTTCCTAGCATTTAATAGGAGGATACGTGAATAGAAAACATTCATTGCACAAGGAATGGTGTGTCAGATGTCAGATGTCCAGATGTCCAGATGAGACTGGAGATCTTTGACAATCATTGTTAATTCAGGTATAAATACTCCTCAGAAAAATAGAGAAAAGTACGCAAACTTAAATCCGAAAAATAATCCATTGAGCGAAACCCTTCGACCTTATACTGACTTAAGCTTCGGAGGAGATAAGCGGGGCGCTCGCCTGACCCTATTTTTTCTGACCCTATTGTTTCAGGTTCGCCAACTTGGAGATCGCTGTCTCAAACTATTGCAAGAATTATGTCGTGCATATACATATAAGGTATATAGACAAATAAGATATATCTTAACACAAATAATTAACTTTTCATCATTTTTCCTTCCGATTTTGGAAGAATTGATTTTAGTGAATTAGAAAAAAAATTAATCCATCCACTTTTTCATCCTTCTTATTTTTGTTCCTTACCTGATATTTTATTTATCCGTCTAACTTTATCCTTTTAATTTTTTATCCTTTTAATTTTTTATCGTATCAAATGAAACATTATTTCATGTGCTTGTGTGTGCAAGCTTTCATACTGTCTTACTTTGACCGAGTGCCGATTAATATATAAAAATTATGCATTTGCTTTGTCGACTGTCATTGAATTCTGGGTACAGCGTTGAATTTTGCTTTGGTGTGCGGGGAGAAAAACACTATAAATAAGGGAGAGAGATAGAAAGAGAGAAAGGATAGGCTAGCTGTAGAGGTGGTGGCAATGGAGGGCCGGAACGACGATGTTGCCAATTCAGGTCCCCGGAAAGTCCACTCTGATGATCACTTGGCCGTTGAAATCCCCGAAACTGCCCATCAAATCAGCCGTGGTACGTTCGCTGCAATTCTGAGTTCATTTCGTTTACTCTAATACTACTTAAATCTATTTTACTTCGTTGTGAATCGAACAACGGTATAGATTAATTTAAGAAATTATGTCAATAAATTAAGTCTGAATAGTATTTTTCTTTTGTTTTTTGCATTTACTTTTGAATTTTCGGCTTTCTGGGTGAAATTTTATTTGTATAATCGGTGTTTTTTTGGTTTTGTTTTTTGGTCATTTCTACGAGAAGTGAATAGTGTTGATGACATTATTGAGAGAAACTATGTATGACAGTGTTTGGATTTCATGATGTAGGAAACATGAATCCTCGATTGGAAGAACCTAATTACTTTTGGAAATAGTCAATCTTTGACTTGGTTCTTCAATGTATTTATGGTTAATAAAAGTTAGTTAACGTGGAAATGAATACTCCAATAAAAGGATTAAAGTAAAAGTATTAAGAAACAAAAAATAAAAGAGGAAACGAATGCCCCTTTGATCTGTAAAATTTTGTCCCTTGCAACCTTTTGGCCCCTTAAATTTGAAGTTTTTTGGTTTTTTTTTTTTTTGGGGGTGGGGGGTTACAATGAACTTTATGTTTATAGTTTGCAAACACATGTTTCTTCTAATGTTCTATCATCTCAAATCCTGCCTCGACAAGGAAAAAAAAAATCATCTTTTGTCATAAGGTATCTTTCTATGTTTAGATCTCGCTAATTAATTTACAGTAGCGCGATATTTAATTGTTCTGATTTGAGTTATTTTACCTGTTTTGAGAATCGTAGATTCATGGTTTCAAGTGGGCTTTGTTCTGACAACTGGTATCAACAGCGCGTATGTGTTGGGATATTCTGGTACTGTGATGGTTCCTCTTGGTTGGATAGGAGGTGTGATTGGTTTAGTTTTAGCCACAGTTCTTTCACTGTATGCAAATTCTCTTGTTGCTAAGCTCCACGAATTGGGAGGGAAGAGGCATATCAGATACAGAGACCTTGCAGGCTTCATTTATGGTATGAACCAAAAACAGAAAGGAGAAACGAAGAATTAAAAATGGACCTCTATCTTTTATATCGTTCTCATTCCATTTGTTTGCTAACAGCCTGAAATTGTATGAAATATTCCAACTGCTTTCTTTGAGTACGGCTTCTGCTGTTGCAGGTCGGAAAGCTTATAAACTTACATGGGCATTCCAATATGTGAACCTCTTTATGATTAACACTGGATTTATCATTTTGGCTGGTCAGGCTCTGAAGGTGAGATCAATTCAAAAGGAATTGGTTCTTCTGGTTCCACCACATGTACACGAACACACAAATCAATGTTTTTATGTTTTGAGAGTTGTATAGTGGTTTTTTTGTGGATACTTTTTTTTAGCTGGCCGATATTCCTCTAAAGTTTCTCTGATATTTGGTTTATAATTATGATTATTGCTGCAGCTCTTTTTGTTAACTAAGTCCATAAACTTCTTTCTAATTGTGCTTCATGGTTTGAAATTCGGTTCTAGTGATTTCTGTGAGATATCTTGATTAGATGACAACGCTTTTTGTTGAATACCTAATATTGCTCACTTTATATGCAGGCTGTCTATGTTCTTTTTAGGGATGACCATGACATGAAGCTCCCATACTTTATTGCAATAGCAGGTTTTGCATGTGGCCTTTTTGCCATTGCGATACCCCATTTGTCAGCTTTAAGGATTTGGCTTGGATTTTCAACCTTCTTCAGTATTGTATATATCGTTATAGCTTTTGCCCTGTCTCTTAAAGATGGTATGATCTCCTACTCTTCCTGATAGCCTAATAATTATGTCAACAATGTGGAATTTTATTATAATCATTGCATTCACTGCTTAAACTCTTCAAGGAAGCCTGATAATAGTTATTAGTTTGCTAGCTAATTACCTCATTTTTCTGCTTCATGATCCTTTTCCTTTTCTTCTTATGACATCTTTCTCTCTCTCATCTCTCCCTGTATGTGTGTGTTTGGGAGAGGGGGGCTGCGGATATTTATTTCTTCTATGTTGACTGGTGTTATGAATGTTGAAATGAGGGGCAAGTTTTAAATGTGTACATGATATTGTCATGACGTGTTAGTCAATTTCACAATATATATTTAATGAAAAACAACATGAGTTCATGATTAATTCACAATTAATGGTTTTCTTGGCATTCTGACATCTAATTCCAGTTGTATTAAGTCACTGTCATTGTCTTCATCATGGACATCAAATTGCTTTTTGCTATTGATGTGTGAATATGAATGGCTAAAAATAGTAATGAAATACTAAGGGCATGTTTGGTTTGCTTTTTAAAAAATAGTATCCGAAAATAGTTTTTGAAAAGAGTTTTAAGAAAGTGGTTTTGATTTTTTTTGAGATAAAAAACTTGTTTGGTTAGATGATTTTAAAAACAATTTTACAATACAGAAAATAGTAAAACCTGTTTGGACAGCCTAAATAGGTTCCAAGGCTGGCATCTTGACAATGAAAATAGCAATTCACTTGGACAAAAATTGTGCTGAGAACATTACTCATGTAGTTCTTTCAGGACTGCATTTGACTTGTTATTGCATAGACTTCTTAAATGTGCATACAGCAGGGCTTTACATGTTGACCGCAACATACTTGATCAATCGTATTGTGGTTGCACTTGATAAGATTCTCCAGTAGTTTAATTAGATCATCCATACCTTACATATTATTAGACTAGTATTACGTTGCAGTCAAATAATTTTTGATGTCAAAATTTGCATTATAGGAATTGAAGCTCCAGCCAGGGATTACGGTATTCCAGGAACGAACATAGGCAAGATCTTTACGACTATAGGTGCAGCTGCAAATACTGTTTTTGCTTTCAATACAGGAATGCTTCCAGAGATACAGGTGAGCCAGAAATCCATTACTTTATAGTGGTGACTGGCATGTAGTTAAAGTCTTTCAGGAATGTAGAATGATTCATGATTCAGATGGAATTTTAGAGTTATCAGCTGATTGGAAAATACTGAAACCCCTATTATGCAGTATTGAATTCCTAGAAGTAGTGAAGGGTGTTCTGGTTGTTGATCCTATACACTGGTTACTATACAGCAGACCAAAGTCTTGAATTTTTTTTTCACCCCTTGATCTTATTTTCTTCTTTGCATTTGATGCTCACACGTTATTGTGTTATTCTTTTGACAGGCTACAGTGAGACAGCCTGTCGTTAAGAACATGATGAAAGGTCTTTACTTTCAGTTCACCATAGGAGTTTTGCCTTTGTATGCTGTTGCTTTTATGGGTTATTGGGCTTATGGATCCAACACATCGACCTATTTGCTCAACAGTGTCAATGGTCCAGTTTGGGTGAAGACACTGGCTAATGTAACTGCCTTCTTGCAAACCGTCATCGCTTTGCATGTAATCATCACTCTTGCTCTTCTATATTACCTTCTTATCATAGCGAGTATGTTGTTCAAGATGTATACAGATCTAAGATTGGTTGCATTTCCTCATGCAGATCAGTCTTAGTATCTCTTAGTTCTCTTGGAGACCTAAATGTCCAAATATGCTCCTTTTTCATTTATTGCTCCAATAAACTTAGTAGCTCCATCTAATGTTTGTAGATATTTGCAAGTCCAATGTACGAGTATATGGACACAAAGTATGGCATCAAAGGAAGTGCACTGGCTGTGAAAAACTTGTCTTTCAGAATTATGGTGAGAGGCGGTTATCTGACAATAAACACATTAGTGGCTGCAATGTTGCCATTCCTCGGAGACTTCATGAGCCTCACGGGGGCTATCAGCACCTTCCCGCTTACATTCATCCTCGCAAACCACATGTACCTCGTCGCTAAGAAAAACAAGCTGACTTCTTTGCAGAAGCTCTGGCACTGGTTCAATGTATGTTTTTTCAGTTGCATGTCTGCTGCAGCAGCAGTTGCTGCCGTGAGGCTTATTGTAGTAGACTCCAGTAATTTCAGTGTATTTGCTGATTTATGACCCTTGATGCCAATTTGATGAGATATTTATTCTCATTATTGTATGTTAATTGGCATTCAAGCTTTCTTTAGCTTTATTGTTTATTCACTAAAGGCTTTAGCATTGAATAACATAGTTTTTTAGTTTATTCTGACGGTTTTTTATTACGACATCCTTTTAAAATTTTTGGTAGCATAATTAAAATGATTTTTGACCATTTATATTGTTTTGAGTTATTTTGTAGTCATTGATCACCAAAATAATAATAAAAAAATGAGAATACTCTGCACGTATCATGTTCTTCGTGGACGAAAAAAGGAATTAACTATAGGTAGCAAATGAATGCACAACTTGAAATAATAGGGGAAAAAATAATGGCTGGATCACCCAGACAGTTGATTCTACTACACAAAAGCTTTTGACAGTCATTAGGGGGGACATCAGCTTCTTACATTCAAGCACAGCACAGGTGTGATACAACTTTGGCTTTGCCTATTGTTCTAGCAGCCTTCTCACTTTGTGTCACTTAAATACCTGCGAGTTCAAATCCATTTCGGAAGAGTAGGAAGATAGTTTCTTCCCCCTGCTTTAACCCACCACGAGCATCGGGGAACCCTCACGTTCAATTCAAGGCACAGCACCAATGAGGACAGTTTATACTTCCCAGCCTCTGTGAAATGCATTGTTTTGATTTTATTAAAAAAAGATCCATACAGAGCCAAAAAGAAAGAGTGATTGTAGTCAAAAGGGGCAAAACTGTGATGATTTAGACAGTCGAAATACCTCAAACTTCCCACAAACATAATGTAAAAGCTAACACACTTGCAAGATGCCCTTTCAAAACAAACTAACAATTCATCTCAAAGATTATTGCATGGATTATAAAGCAGACAGTCAGAAGAACTAAAATATTGCATGAGAAAGCACGAAAGTATTTCAATGACACGCAAACCGTCAATCCATTTTCAACCAATATCACAAACATCCCGCTCCCTTGTCATAATATGTCAAGGAAGGTAAGGATATAGTTTATCAGTGTCAAACCTAATTTAAAAATCTTTAAAACCACATCTTGTTATTTCTAACAAAATCTACAGCCTTCGTGAAGAAACCTTTTCTACACACTTCCATCAATTTGCATAAGCCTTTGAAGCCTGCAACCATTGATCTGATCTGTGGCACACCAAATAAGTGGTAACAAACATCAACTTTCAAGGATACTCATAACAGATACATGTATTCTTCAAAGAAAGGTTAAAAATAGTGAAGAAATAACATCTACAACCAAAACACAACACATGGAGAGAGAGAGAGAGAGAGAGAGAGAGAGTTTAAATTGCCACTAAGCATTGCCATATAATAGAGGAGCATGGAGAGATTACAATTAACCAGCCATTTTTAAGCAAGATAGATGGAATGTAAATGATTAAAAATAAGAAAGAAATATATTTTTCAATTTGACACATCAATTTGCATTTTTTTCTGGTTTGTATCTAATAGAAGTCCCTAAAAAGGAATCTGAGGCCTAGTTTGCCAGCATAAGGCATTAAAATGCTATTCAAGCCCCAGTCAACTATTTGACAAAATAACAACAAAAAATGAAGCACATATGGCATCCTAATATCCGGAGCGTGAAGTTTTAGCCCTCCAGAGCGTGAAGTTTTAGCCCTACATTGAACGGGGAAACCCACCACTCAAATAGCTCTTCATCTACACCTACACCATGAAGAAGTCTAGTTAAATGGCTACCCATCTTACATGATAACCTCTGCTGGTTTTTAAAACTCATTTTTAAAATTGACAATAATCCAGCAACCATTTCTTTGTCATGGTGAAAACATCGCTTCCTCTTCATAGATGACCCGTCCTGCCTAGAAAACTTTCCTATATCAATTTGTTTTTCTAAATTTAAAAGAGAAAAAAGGGGGGGGGGGGGGAACCTATAAACAAAAATTTGTTCTTATCCACACACAGCTCCCTAGACATACTCAACTAAAAGAAGAACAACCAATAGTAGAAGTAAATGGTAGAAATAGTCCTTGAACATCTTACCCAAGTGACATCATCCAGACACCAGCTTTACAACAATACAAAGGGCGTTGAGGATTATAAGAAGAACTCTCAAGTACTGGGTTGCATAAATGAGACCGATAATCTGCCCTTTGAACGAATTTCTCCTGACTCCTGAGTATTCCTGGAAACTCCATCCTCTAGGTGCAAGGAAGCGGTCCTCATTTAATATAGCAAGTGCATTTGCAAGTAGCAGACAACCCTCCAAGAGTGTCCACAAACCCATTTCCTATGTTACGTAATATGTAACAACCAAGTTAGGCAATCATTGACATAGTAATAAGCAAATGAGGCAAACATTGGCCGAATTCAAATTGACGCATCTATCCTTATGCCATCCTAGTCATGTAGAGTGCTTGTGATGTAAAACTGCTATAAGAGGAGCAAGACAATGAATTGAGTGCACCCCAAAGGCAATGGGAGAGGAAAGAAGTATAGAAGCATTCTCAGATTATATGAAATGTGTATACTTAACATATTTCTGCCGTAAGTATAAATTTGCGTGCACCAATATTCTAGAAATCTTTCCAATGGATGCAACGATAAGAAATGCTGATGTGCACTTCCACATAATTGAGGTTTGATGGTATTAAAAAGGGGTATGCACGCAATTAAGAATTAACACTCCACTCTCATCCCCCAAAATCCAGTTGCAGATTTTAGGCACACTTTGTTCACATGGGAAAGTAAATCCAAAGTCAAATGGGGCTGGCATAAACAAATTTGCAAGTATGTTAACCAAGACTTTGGAAAATTCCATGATTACAAAATGAAGGAAACTACAGACCAAGCCTATTTCTATTTCCTAACAAGGCGACATCACAAAAGGGGAAGCAGGCTACTATTGTGTTGAAGACGAACATAGAAGTGAAAAACAATGTATCTCCCAAAACATTCAACTTGTCAATCTTATTTGACCTTTGGTTACGTAAAAAGGGGGGGGGGTGTTGTAAACAAAAATTTCATACTCTTTGTTTACAATACCCCAGCACAGGGCTTTTCAATGCCCTATACCATAAATACAGTTCCCGAATGCCACATAGTAGCATTTTGGAATACTAGATGCTATCTCATTTGAAAGTAGCCGAAGCATTAAAGGACCTTCTCTTGAGGCTCTGAGAAAACCCATAATGCTGGATGCTATGACATCTTGTCTAACATTTGTCTTCATACCATGCTGGAATATATACAGTGAATCAACCAAACCAAACAAAGCAGCCTACTAGCTGTTGAGGCTCGGCTACATAACCCATTGTTTGCCATAAATCAATAAGAATATGATCCAAAACACATGCAGCAATACGTGTTTGTACAATCAATCTGAGAACTGAATGACCGAATGGGTACCACCCAAAAGATTCAATCTTGGAGATGGCAAGTTTTAGAGTCATCACATATTAGCCTAGATGGTTAGGCCCTCACCTCTGAACCCAGAGATCTGAAGTTCAAACGTCGCAGATGCCACTATATAGGGAAAACAGTTAATCCTGACCAGATCTAAGACATAAATTTGCTTCCACAAACTGCTTATTGGCTCTCATTCCGTTGCTCTTATGAGTTATGAGGCAAGGTGTTCGAACACTTTTCTAGTTACAGATATTTAAATTTTCAAAACACAGTCTCAAAAGCCTAATATAATGCTTCGGAATTCTTTGGGTGCACAAGATTTATAACATCAGATATCAAAAGAATCCCATCCTCACACATAATGGACCATATGAATCAACAACAAAATTAAATATGATGAAAATTAGGGTTATATTCACAAGATTCGACCACAAATCTGTTTAATTCAAAAAGTTGCATCAAACAATAGATCACGATGAAGTTTTATGGAAAAATCAATCTGAGCCTTAAAAGGAGGGCTAGAAGAGAATGACGAACAAAACTTACCTGGGGATTTTGGCCGGAAAAACGCTCTGTATCTGAAAAGTTTCCTGCTGGGTTGCGCCGGATCACGAGCTCACCCTAAGGAGTTGTGTCTGAACTCTGAAATTAACTTGTCGTCGAAGTATTTTTACAGCGTTGTTTGTTTTGGGAGAAAGGGAAGGGAAAATGGGGAAGAATTTTTAAAGAATAATACTTGACACTGACCTAATTTTTAAAGAGTAATCCTTCTCTCTTTCTCTTCCAACCGAACAAAGCAATAGAAAGTGTTTTTATCCCACTTTATTTCGGATAAATTATATTTTATACCCTAAAGTTTACACTTGATTTTTATTTGATCCTTTAAATATAAACAATCAAGTCCTGAGTCACATGAACATGAGACAATCCGATTATAGGATTAATTTTGAATAACTTGACTCTAAAAAAGAGCATATATATTAAAATTACATTTGTTGACTTATTTAATATAGATTTAAGTACTTTAATTTAATGTATTGACTCATGGTTTACAGGTTTAACTTATGTTTATGTTAATTTGGGCAAAATTATTTATGTGATTAAAGCATATAATGCTCACACGATGCCTTTTCATTATAATTACGATGAGTTTTAACATAGAGAATTTGAAACTAGTCACGATGTTTAAGGACTTGATTGTTGCAATTGATTATTGAGGACCAAATAAAAATTAAGTGTAAACTTTGGGGGTATAAATTAAATTCACCCTTTTCCTTTTTTAGTTTTCCCTTGGCATTATTTTTAATGGAAAATATAACTTTCAAAGGAGTTTGGTTTTACTTTCCCCCTCATTTTATCTTCTTTTAACTTGGTCTATTTGTTCTTCCCACCGAACATCTTTCATTTTTACTCTAATGTTTCCTATTTTCTTTCTCTCTTCATCAAACATGGAGTGGAGGGAGGGAGACTAATTGCTGTGCAAGGCTCTGTTGGATCCCTTCCCTTAAATTCAGTTTTTGTTCGGCTATGTGGCTTCAGGAAAAACGATGATTATCTGAATTTGCAAGTCCAGTGAAATTTAATAAACCACTTTGAATTCAGTTTAAGTTTTAATGTCCTCCCTTGAGATCCCAATTTTTTCACCCGACTTTGGGGCACAATTGAGTTGTGGAAACTTAATTGGAACTGTTGCTGAAAATAGGAATTCTGGGAAATTGCAAATGGAATGGGAATGAATCAGAGTTATAAACACCATATAACGAAATCCATGTTGTAAAATGATAAGGGTAATGTTTCAGAGAAGCCCCAGTTCCTTTTGGGTTTCAGGGTTTTGAAATAATTGGGATTTCTAGCAACTTGACTCTAGCAAATTTTTTAACTATTGGAATTGCACTGTGCTTTAGAAATTAAATTGTTAACCCTATTTGTGAAGATATCCAGTGCAATGAAAAAGGGCTGGCTCACAACACATGGAGTGGTATGTATTCAGATATCTTTTTTATTTATTGGAATGCTTTTTTGCTGTAATGTTTCTGAGTTTTAATCTTTTCTTTAATTATTTTGTTTCCTGAAATACTTTACTACTGCACTTGATACAGAAAATTTCAGTCTTGTGTTTGGCTGTTTTAAAGATTGTTGTGGTTCTTCTTGTTCTTGTTCAACTAAGGTCACCCTTTATTTTGTTGTGCCCAATTCTTTTTATGAAGGTTTTTAAAGGTGATAAATGTTTCAAGGATGTACATACAAGCTCAGTCGAGCCTGAGTAGTAGGTTTTTCTCAGTTTGTTAGTGCATTTCTTCCTCAAGTGTTCATGCATAATTCGTTTTCTACTGCTCCTCTTTTTGACATACAGTTGTTGAAATTAAGTGAATGGCTTCATTCAGTCACATCTCAGTTTGATCAACTGAGAGCCATACTATAGATGGTAAGCCCATCAACATTAAAATAGAATGCTTTATCTTATTTTTCTATTCGATGTGAGATTCCCACACATGCAATATTTAACACAGACTCTTATCAAAATTCTTCATAGATAAATGAAATGGCATGGTCTTTTTACAGCATATGCCTGATTATAAATCTTCGGATTGAATGGATAGTTATAAAAAGAGGAAATTTATAGTTTCTTTTCTTTTAGTGTACCATATTTAGATACCTCTCTTTTTTCTTCCAATTTTTTTGGTTTTTTTATATTGTTTCGTCATTGTAGTGATCATGTTTGTGTCCATCTTAGTACCTGTTTGAGGAATCAAACATTTCGTTATCGACATTTGTTTTCCTTTTTGCCTCATAAAAGGTTATAATAAGCAAATCCTATGCTTTGTCACCAACCAAATGCAAAATGTAGTAGCCTTCTGGCATTAATCAGCTGTTAGAATGAATCAGAAACTCTTTTTCTTTTGCTGTCCTATATTTTTAAGATATCTTTTTTATTATAGGGGACAACTCAATGGACCAGGGCCTGGCTGTGTTTTTTTTCCAAAACTTCTGTTTGTGTTAGTTCTTCTTACACCTTTTCATTTGTGAGGCAGCCTCACAGAATGTTGAGCTTGGTAACAAGGAACTGTCCAAGGCCATCCAACGGAATAGTAGTAGCAGAACTTTCTTTTGCTCTTTCTATGTATTCTTACATTTTCCATCCTATTTCTTGATTGGTATGGTTAAAGGAGGGTATGACAAAATGGAATAACAAGTCGAGTGAGAGGTGAAGTTAGTTATAACAAACCTTTTCCATTAATCCGGGGTTTGAAACTCAAGTTCCCCATGTAATTTATGTTACAGCACTGCTTTGTACCCCTTACTACTACCACAGCCACCTTCACAAAGTTAACCCCTACAAGGGTCTGGCAGTGAGAATTTTTGGTTCTTGAGGCCGTTATTTGGTTTAAGAGAGAGCTCCAAAAAAAATGGTTGGTTCATTCACTGGTACTACGTAGTTATGATATATGTGCATCATCTGGAGGTGATAATCTTTCATCATGCAGTTCAAGCCAGAACTTTAAGAACTGGATGGATCTGTAACAAATCTGCATATCAAAATCAGTATGTGTTCATCTTTATACATGTGTGAACATTTGTATAGCCTCTAAAAGCTAGTGCGGTGTCCACTAGTTTGGTCCGCTATAATCCTTATTCTTGGTTCTTCAAAATTCAAGTTAATATGAGGGTTTCTAATTATTTGAAGAACCAAGGAAGTCGATGCTTAAACAATATATGCTTGCTTTGTTCCTCTTGCAACCCCTGTCTTCCCTATCTAATCTCCAGGTTTCTGAATTCTCACCGTAACTGTAGTAATATTGGTTCTGTTCATAATTCCCAAGTTTAAGAATCTGAACTTTGTAGAGGCATAAGTTTCTGTAAGTTCTCTTTCTTCTCTCTCCTGTTCATGATGATTTATATCAATCTATGTATCCTTTGCGTCAAAGTTCATCTCGGTGTCTGCAATTCTGGTGATACTGGGACATCATTTCAAGAAATGTTTTGTTATTCAGTGAAGGAATCATCTGCATAAAGTCTCTAAGAAAGAGATCCTAAATTCCAAATGTGGCCCAGATTTGACGGAACTATGCACGTACTGTGTATAGTAGTGAAATGCTAACATAAATGAATAAAGGAATGTAGTTGGTTTCATACAAATGCCTATGGATTTATCTGATTTTCTCTATAAATTTGTACAGAACTGTTAATGCTCTCTTATAGAGGTTCTTTACCTTTCCAATATTATGCACAGACAATAATTTGAGAAAAAAACAAAGCAGCCTGTATATTTACACAGGAACTGTCTCATCTTGCTTTGAGTTCAGCATATTTCTGCTTCTTCAATCTGCTGGAGGGGCAGTGGGTGCTACATAATTCAGAGCAGGAGAGCCACCTTTCAATATAATTGTCCAGCTTCCACAAATGGAAAGGTTTTTGTCTTTTTTTTGCTCAATAGTATCCTGACTTTCTTGCAACTGTTTGATCTTCAGATTTCTCACAGATGCAACCAGGGAAAGGATTTGCATAAAAGCTCTCCTCGAGTTTTGGAGAATCTCCAACTTGTCTTGTATGTGGTGCTCCAATCCTATGTTCATGTATGCTCTTTACCTCTAACGAGAATTCGTCCCATGATAATTTTCCCTCATCCATTTCATCCACCAGCCTTACAAAATTTTGTCTGCAACAATGTAAAGAAATTTAAAATCGTCAATTTAACTTTCAATTTACTTAAAAACACCAAGTACTTCACATAGCTAGTATTCTTAGTTTATTTTTAACAACATAGAACTGTTTCAACTATACTTTTATTCAGAAATGTGCCTAATCACTTAATAAATTGTGTGCATCAAGTATTTCATTATATTCTCTTGCGAGAATTGAATTTTGGATCTCGAGATAGTAGCTCTGCAATCTTTTTATTTAAGCTGTGCTTTTATAGAATTACTTACTTGTCAGGATCAATGGTTTTCCGAAACCCTTCGAATGTCCGATGACCACGAACCGCCTTAGCCATGTTCCCATCATAGGTATAAACAAAAACATTGCTCTCAAGTGCTACAACATAGTCCAAGGCAGCAAGCTGATTGTGTTGGTGCTCCAAATGTCCCAGTTCTTCTCCTGTTGCCAATGTGGTATGAGAGTATACATTTGGATACTTTTTAAGCAGTGCATTGAGCCCGTTTTCTCCATAAATCTCCCCTGCGACTATATAGATTTTGGTTGCCTGAGGGTACCCGATTGCCTCTAGGAAGAGCGCTGCCTCCCTTGGTGTCATTGGACAACCGCCCAGGAGCCGCCGCTCTTGGCTGTTGATCCTTTTCTCCTTCCAGTGTTTGGTTTTGTACCTCAGTTTACGAAGTTCCACAGCCTCCTTTGAGGTGAGGTTGTGTGTGCAGCCTGTAAAGGCTAGCATGTCCTTCTCGTATCTGCAGTGGAATTAGGATTGTCAGTATTATCTAGTGACACCAATAAAAAACAAAACTCGAAAATAACGCAGTAATTAACACAAACGATATATAAATCTATTGAAGATTTGAATATCTCAAAATTTACGGGATATATGATTTAAGCAATTTTGTTTGTGCGTGTGTTCCTACTCTTCTTCCACTTTAGATCTTCGATCTTTTTCCATCCAAATTTTAGCAAGATCAATTTTATTGTTAGATACAAATAATCAATTTAGGCAAAAATCTTTTTTTTTTTTTTTTAAATTTCTTGATCTAATGTTGTACTACTTGGCTTAGAGTAAATGAATTTTTATTTAGTTCTAGTAGGAATTTGATCAAACAAAACTTCAATTCTTGGAAGACTCGCATTGTTTGATGGATTCGAGTTATGATTCGGGTTATGAGTAAACAAAAAGTATTCGTTATGAGATTGGGCTTGTTTGATAACGTTTTTATTTTCGTGTTTTCAAAAAACACGAAAACAGAGACAATTTTTGTTTGAATTTTGTAATAAACACTAAAAATAAAAAATATATTTGAGAGTCATTTATATTTATCAAATTATGAAAATAAAAATAAAAAATATATTTGATAACTATTTCAAGTTATATATTAAATATAAACTGTTGAGCTTCACAACCAAAAGAGTTGATTCTCATCTTTAGATGCCCTTGCTTATGTAGAAGTAGGTCCAAAACTCCAAGTATTCATGTTAACAAAAAAAAAAAACTCATTTGTGACCCAATCACACATGGGCTTTCGAGCCTCTAACTATTTTCATACACATCCAATGATTTTCAATATGATACATCATTTATTGTTTAATGTTTGATACAATTTTTAATAGTATTCATCCATATTAATCCATCAAAGATCATCAAACTCATTCAATCTACTCATTAGATTGTTAGCCAAAAAATAAAATAAAATTGGGACTAAGTGGCAATTCAACAATCTCAAATGACAATTCAATCAATTCTAAATGGCAATTCAATTAAACCTAAATGATAATTCAATCAATCTAAAATGGCAATTCAATCAATTTCAAATGATAATTTAATCACAAATAGCAATTCAATCAATCTTAAATGACAATTCAACAATTCCAAATGACAATTTAATCAATACCAAATGACAATCAATCCCAAACACAATACACACACAAAGAACACAATACATACACACACTCACACGCACAGATTCAACACAACACACACACACACATACACACAGACTCATCGCTCATACACACACATGTGCACACATCTATATAGATATGCACAAATTTGTGCATTTATATGCATATATACACGGGAGTGTCTTCGTTTTCTAGATTTCATAGAGAGCGAGCAAGAGAGAGAGAGAGCATCATCTTTTGAGTTTCACAAAGAGCATCGTATAGAGAAAGAGGAACTATTGTCTTCTTCCACAGCGACAGAGAGATCGTCTTCTTCCACGCCATCACACCATATAGACCCACAAACTCGTGCATCGGTTCATCTTCGTTTGTATACAGAGAGAGAGAGAGAGAGAGAGGCTTGAAGTCATGTTTTATACTTCCACAAAAAATAACACATTTTGTTGGTAATGAGAGTCGAATTTGATACCTAATTAAAATTTTCAGCTAAGCTGCATGCATGTTTCATGTTTTGGGTGTTTCCTGGAACACAATTTTTTTGTTCCTATTTTTTTGGCTTGTTTCCAAGATAACTAAGATGAAACAAAAAGCACCAAACAAACTGGCCCGTAGTTTACAGCATGTTAAAAAAATGATTTTAAACAATTTTTTTTAGCAATATGAGGTTTAAATAAAAGTGAAACTCACACTTCAAAATTGGTGAGAGCAAATTTAAACGCGTTATCTTCTGCAAGGAGATGAATGTTGTATATTTATTTGTTTTAAACTATTAAGTATTGAATGAAAAATTATGGTTCAAAACAATCTATTTGAAGTAATGAAATAAACTAAGATTGATGTAGTAAAATAAGACTTGTCTTACGTTACAAGAATACCAACATTTGGTGAGTTAATAACCTCTTAGTTGACTTCATGGGTTGGACCCCAAGAGGTACCACACTTTTGTGAGCAGAGCGAGCGTTTAAACTACTTTGGTTATCACACACACGTCACCCGCCTCGTTATGACTGTTCTGAGCTTGGACTTAGGTTAAAAAAATATAATATTTTTAGACAAAATTTATTTGGTGTGGTGCAGGTTATGGGTCGAACCAATAAAATCCGAATACAAATAGTAATTAATAAACTGTCTCATTGTCATTTTCAATTGATCTCAATTCTGAATTCATTATTTAGGGTTTCTTCTCTCTTTATGCATGTCGTTGTATTAGTCTTTCTTGTTCGATTCACGTATAAACACATGGTTGTGTTCGCTACAGTTTTGAAAATTGAAGTGTTGCTTCTTCAAAAACGAAATTTGTTCTATCATGAGAGAGACAGTTGCTTATCAACCTGAAGCATCGAGAATGAACAAATCTATCTTAAGAAAATTGTGATTATATAGGACTCAAATTATTATTATTTTCTGATTTTCTAAATTTTGTTCGTTCAATTCTGTGTCAATGTAAATGCATTTTATTTTATTAAATTAGCTCAAATATAATAAAATACTTACTTGGTGATTTAGAGTTTGATATAGTAATTAACAGTGTTTTAAAATTCGGCCCGACCCGACAAGTCAATCCAGTGACCTGGCAAACCGGTCCCCTAACCGGGCCAATTCTAATAAAAAATCGTTTGTGTACAGAATTCGGCATAAACTCGTTGAACCGGCCAAAACCCAGTGAACCATTGCGAACCAGATGAATTTATTAGAATCGGCCGGTTTAAGTTGATTTCTAAAATCTGACATTTTTTTCCCCTTTTATTTTTTTTTTCCCTTTTGTTTGTTCATTTGTTGCCCTAACTAAATCAATCCCACCATTTCCAAACCAAAGTCGCACACCACATCGCCTCTCCACCACCAACCGAACCGACTGACCACCACCAATTGATTGACCACCACGGCACCACCAACCGACTGACCACCAAAGCAGCAGTGACTAACCAGTGAGTCAGTGACCACCACCTCGCCTCCTCCAGAACAGCGACTGACCACCATCAGCAGCGATCAGCATCCAGTTCCTTCTCTTTCTCTCTCTCTCCATTGCAGTGACTCCATTAACTGTAAGTCCTTTTGACCCACTTATATATATATGGTTTATGGTTGGCGTTTGAGGTTTTACGTGCAGAATCTTTATTTGTTTTAACACAAGTGCTCTTTGAAATATAGTGAGAATGAAATGGGTTTTGGTGCAATTGGAGCTCAAGTTTGATTTGTGTTTTGTTATGTTGAAAACCCGCTTGAGATGTTTATTTACTTGTGGATTGTGATATGATCAAATATACACGGGCAATTTGTTTGATGATATGATCAAATATACACTGATAATTTGTTTGATGATCAAATATACACTGACAATTTGTCTGATGATATGATCAAATATACTTGTGGAATTTTCTTTACGTAACTTTATATGTTTGATATTATTTTTATAATTATTGGAATTTTTTTAGTCTATTTATAATTATTTTATAATTTTTTATTATATTACTGGTCGAACCAATGACTCAACGGTTGAACCAGTGACCCATTGATTTGGTCTTTTCACCGGAGTTGATGTCCGGGCCGGGTTTTAAAACATTGGTAATTAGTGATTAATTCTAATTATATACATACTTTGATTAACACGACATTCCAGCTTAACACGACTCGGAACGAGACAGTTTGCCTGGTTAGCAAGTATGAGGGCACTAGAAAGATGCATGCAGTGGGGAGGAGACACCTTAAATGGAGAGCAATGTAGGGTTCACCATTGCTTCTGAGTCTGTCTGCTAACTTCTTTGCAAGCTCTTCGATCTCCGGCGCGAATCGTAGCGCCTCATACATTGCCCTGCACCGGAGCCTTTGAATTGAATTTGGGACACCATTGTTGGCAAGGCGCGAGTCTGTGTGGGTGAAATCTATCACTTTTTGCCGTTTTAACAATGAAAGCATCTGTTCTCCATAGTATGTGGCCTGCATAAAAAAAATTTCCCACTTCAATTTTTTTAGCTAAAATGCAATGTCACTCCTAATTGCTGGATTGACAGATTGACAGTATGGATCAGTATTAGTCGGAGCTCGCAACTAATCCGACAAATGTGATGAATTAAGTCAATAAATTAAGTATAAATAATATTATTGAGTAGTTATTAGATATTGCTCTAGGAGATAGCTTAAGGGGCAGTTTCATAACACTACTTAATGCTTAAAATTGAATATAATTAATATTTTAAGTATTTCTTAAAAATAGACTAATTTTTTAAGTAGCAAGTCACCTACTTATCACTTAATACTGAAATGATAGTTAGTAAAAATTTTATAAAATTTTTGTAATGGACAAATATATTTTTAATGCATTTTATACTCTTTAATTTTTCAATACCCTCCGTCCACAATCACCACAACACCACCGTTGTGTCGTCACCAGGCCCCCACCGCTATCACCACAACTGTTATGCCACTATCATTGTGCTGTCTTCGCCACCACTAGTATTGTACCACCATCACCACCACAATGGTGGTGGTAGGAAAAAATAGTTATAGTGAGATAGTTAAAAAAAATCTAAAATTAGAATAATAATAATTTTTAAACTTTAGCTCTTTATATTTGTCTTTTAGTGGATATAAAACACTTTGCGAATTAAAAAATTCAACACTCAATACTTAAAATTCAGCATTCAACTTTCAATTTTATCAACACATCACTTAAATAGATAGTTTTTAAGGATTTTGAAGTACTAGCTCATGCAACAATTTTTTTGACCAAAAAAGACTTAGTTAGATTGATTTTATGATCTTTTCTTTTTTACTTTTTTGTTTTTTTGGAGTTTTGTTGTGGATCCTGCATAATTTTTTAGTTTATTGTATTCATAAATTATTATTAGTGACTTAAAAAGTTTTGAAATTCATATTTTTGGAACTATTATATATAATCTATACATACATGTAATTATTATTATTTTTACAAAAAAGATATAACAAAAAGTAGAAAGTCACTTTAAAGTTTAAATGGATTTTTTCAACTTTTGTCGACTTTTAAAATAACACTCCAACGATTTTGAGAGATTTTTTGACTTTGATTTTTTTTTGCCAAAATTTTCAAACCACAATTTTTAACATAAAAAAGTCAGCTCTAAATAGACCCGATATGTTTTTTTAAAGTAAAATTCATTTAGCTATGGTTAAGAAAGAAAGAAGAAGAAGGGTTTAACATGCCTTGGACCAGGAAACTGGAGCCTTGGCAAGGGGTTTCACAGCTGCAAGGTGTGGAGGAAGAGATTCAGCCACTTGAATATCATCTTTTAGAGCTTCCATGAAGTGCCTCCAGTCGAAGATATCTTTAAAATCACTGGAAACAATCAGATTCAGAAACAATTTAAGCAGTATTGCTTTTTCTTTTTAACTAGAAGTATTTGAGGTCCTGATCTTAGAATTTGACCAGCATGATTGAGAAGTTCACACACCTAGAGTCGGTCCAAAAAGACTTGTGATCTAAGGAGGGAAGAACCAGTGTAGCATTCATTATTTTAGCTATGGCAACCATGTCACTTATCTGCATATATTCAAAATCTGACAGATTAGATATAAGTTAGAGACGATGAGAGAGATTCCGTGGAGGCGAAAAAGTCCCGGGAATAAAAAAGTTCACTCCCTCATGCTCTGAGACTCTTTAACTTCGATTGAACAAAAAAAGTTCCACTTGTGAAATTGTACCGAAATTAAAACCTGGCAACCCGCCCAGAGTTTCATGATAAAACTTTTCTTGGCGTAGATGCTTACCCCAGTTTTCATTTGATTCAATCCACCATTTGCATGAACAAGAATATGCCCATTTGTAGCAGATCCATTTCCTATATGAAAAAAGAAAAATTCCCAATATGGCCCAAAATAAGTGGAGGTAGACTTTGAGTCCAACTAAAAAGATTCCAAATGACTTTTTTTTTATCACAATAAGAGATTTGTTGAAATGCTTATAAACTGATTCATCTATTTCTAATGCCAATACCAAAAAAACATTCAAAATAGAAACTTTTAAACGTACTCATTTCAGCACTGGATCGATCAATGCATTTATAGTAGTTGTCACTTCTTGGCCTTCTCCAAATTTCTGGAGTCTAACATGTAGAAACCAAAAGAAAAATTGGTATCAGAACCTTAAGTTAGGATTATAGCCCATGGTTGAATTGGGATGGAATTGATATATATATCGGTGTAAGTAACCTTCTGAATCAGTTATATTCATATTGGAAAAATGTTGAGAATAAGATATTTTGAAAAATCGATTAAGTCTCCCTTAGAGTTAGAGGTGTTCTAGGGGCGTATATGATAGAATAAACAACAGTACGAATAGAAAATAAAAAGATTTATACAAGTTATACACATTTCATGAAAAATCTTTAGGTACGAAGAAGTTATTAATTATACCTGTTCGTGCTCCATCAAAATATTGTGTGACATCTCCGAAGGATCTGTGACCACCGGACGTATCAAAATATGACTGCTTGTTTTTGCATTGACTGCAAGAAAGCTACTCATGAGCATGAACTTTACAAACATGGTGGAAACCACCAGCAACATAAAAGCTCCAAGAATCCAGCGGCTTAGATTCTTCCCTGCAGGTCTCAAAAATTTCAGCGTAATATTCAATTTCCTACGTGACACCGAACACCAATTACCCACCAGAGAGCGGTGGTGGTTCTGCTGCTGCTGCGGTGTGTAATGGTGGTTATGTCCGCTGTTAATGTTATTGCTAACGATACCATCTTCTTCGGCCAACTCAACCGAATCTAATGCTCTCCTCCTGGTTGTGGTGGTGGTAGTGGTTGGCAGCAGGGGAGAGCCGGAGCTGGACTTGTCTCCGCTAGTGAACATGTTAATGGAAAAACCAAAAGCGAAAATTGCAGAGAAAATGTTAGAAGGTCAGAGAAAAAGAGAGAGACATTGCAGAGAATTCAAGCTTGTTTCCAAGGGAAAATAACGGCTTTTTTCCCATCCTTTTTATCTCTGTCAATACCCACTTCCATGTCTGGTTGGTTTTTCTGGGGTAATGGCCCCGCAATATATGGTTAAGCACCAGTCTCTCTCTCTCTCTCTCTCTCTCTCTCTCTCTCATGGTTTTATGTTGTTAACAAGCTAAAGAGAGGAGGATAGCCATTTTGGGGATGGAGTTCTACTCTACTGACTCTATTTTCAGATTTCGCCTGTTTATTTTTTAGTATTATACTTTTGAGTATTCTAATTATTATTTTTTTGCTATAATTTATTGTAGTTTAAACCAATTGTTTTATCACTATTTCATTATTTGCAAGTAATTTTTTATTTCACAAATGGTAAATATCATCGTGTTTTCTTGAAAAAAAAATTGCTTTCGATTCTTAAATTTGAAAACATTATTAACTAGTACGTGACTCGGACTAATGGTAATATGACATTGTTCTTTTTTTTTTTTTTTTTTATCTTATTATTATCCAATAGATATACAACACACTTGTTCAACTCTAACACAAGTAACTTCTTATTCCAAATTTAGTTACCCAAAGAAAAAAAATGTTATTTGAAAATTTTCAGAGTCGTTTGATGGTTCGGAGAAGGGTCAATCTTCGACCAAAATATCAATAATCATCATATATTATTAATAAATTTATTTTTCTTTATAATATACTATTTTTTTCTCTTAAAAACATCACTTATTTTTGTGAAAATTGATTAAACGTCCAACTAGATATTTTTTTCAAGTTATTAAATCGATGAAAGATATTTTTTAAGGCATTTAGGATAGGTTAGGTATTTTTTTTTTAATTGACGAGCATACGTTTTTAGTGACTACCATCGATATTCTTTTTGAGAAAAATTAAAGAGTGTGTGAGATCACAGCATGGGGAAGTTGAAACTATTAAAGCCTTGCAATGAAGGAAATTGTGGTGTTTATGTGAGTGTGTGTAGGAAGCACAAAAGAAAATGTGTAAATAGGAGAGTTAATAGAGAAGACTTGGAGTATTAGGCTTAGATCTGCCAAACCACCTGAGATAATGCAGGTTGATGTTTGTGACTTTTGACAGAGAGAGAGAGAGAGAGAGAGAGAGGGGGGAGATGGGGACCTGGGATTCAAAATTCCAGTAAATGAAAGTTAATAACCTAATCCTAACCCTAATCCTAATTCTAATTCTTGGTTTCCCTACTTAATTTTCAAGAGGAGATTTTTCATTTGAGTAAATGCATAGAAAATATTAAGCATTAATATCACATGGTGAAACTACCGATTTGAAATTCTTCCATATAAATTAACTAGTTATTACTCGCGCCTGAAAGTACAGAATAATTAAAAAACGATCAACAGTAAAAACATTTGTGTTCACACCTAAAATAAAATCACAAACATAAAGGAGAAAGAAATATATTTAAGCACTGGTTGCAGTAGAGGTGAGTAGTGGTAGTAATGGTAGGAGGCGGCGATGATTGTAGTGGGTAGCGACAACTGTGGTGGTGGTGGTTGCGGTGATGGTGGTGGTAGGTTTTGGGTGATGATGGTAGTAATGACAGTCATGAATGACATTGGTGGTGGTGGTCCGTGTGGGTGTGGGTGGTGGTGGACGACGATGAGGGTGGTTTGCAATAGTGGTGGTGGGGCGATGATAGTGGTGGTGGTGGTGATGGTGGGCGGTGACGATGGTGGTAGTAGACGAGGACAGGTGCTTCTAAGTAACAATGTGATGGGTGGTGGTGAATGACGGTGGTGGTAGTTGGTGATGGTAAGTGTGGTGGGAGTGGGTGATATTGGCTAGCAACGACGAGTGGTGGTTTGTGGTAATGAGTGGCTGTGGGCAACAATGGTTGTGATAAGTGCTAATAGTGGACGAAGGTGGCAGTGAGATGATGGTGGTAGTTATAAATATAAGAATGAGATGACAATTGTGGTGGGTGGTGGGGGTCGACGATGGTGGTAGTGTTGGTGGTGGGTAGTGATGGTGGTGTTGATGAGGGGTGGGGGTGGGGCAATGATGGTAGGGGTGACGACAACGGTGGTGATGGAGGCAATAATGGTAGTGGTGAGGTGGTGGCGGTGTCGAAGGTGGTGATAGTGGTGATGGCCGTGGGGATGGTGATGGTGGGACAGTGGCGGTGGTGGTAGGGTGGCATAAGCGATAGTAATGGTGGTAGGGTGTCGGTGGTGGTGATGGTGGTTGATGGGCCAAGTCCAAAGGTCCAATTCATGTTATAAGCCTGGTCCGAGTTTTAAGGCTCAACTCCAAGAGGTTCACCAAGTTCAGTTCAATGTGATCGTTCTAGTCAAACTCATCAAGCTTAAGGAGTTACATCAATAAGGAGCATGCAAGGTCATTTGGGAGTCTCCTCTACACCACCAAGGGAGCGTCCAGGAGCCTTACCCCCGTCGCTTGGAGAGCATCATAAACTTCTTTGTCGTTGAGGAGAGCAGAGTCGCCAAGCCATTTAATCATTATTAAAGTCACATCAATCTATTATGACTATTAAACGGCTTAATTTCGTTATGACCGTTCTATTAGTTATGCAATTACTACACTAAGTCATTATAAATTGTAAGTCCCACCAACACTTGAGGGACATCAGACTCATTTTGAGCATTATTCTCTCCTCCCCTCTCAAAGCTTGTAATCTTGTACCCACCCTCCACACCGAAGATAATAAAATTCCGGCGACCTTATTATTGAAAGTGGACGTAGGTCATATTGATCAAACCACTGTAAACTTTGTTTTCTCTCTTTCTACTTTACTGCATTTTATACTACTTAATTGACAGATGGTGTACAAACCAATTTAGTGTATTATCATTTTGGCGTCGTCTGTGAAAAACTGCAAAATTCTCACCTAACCATTTTATTTGCTCAATCAAAGTCAATCACCACAAGAACCATGACTCAGCACGAAGACAACCTACGAGAGAAGGAGGTTGCTCCTTTACCCGTCAATCCCATCCCAAATATTTGTGAATGTCAAATATACTCACACATAAATACTAATCAAACTATTTATAGAGAGGTCTTTTTTATTTGTGAATGTCAAATATACTCACACATAAATACTAATCAGTACAATCTCATAGGTTTGAAAACAACCGGAATTTAAGCATCATTCGCATGAAATCCGACCACTAAGATATCGCACAAAATAGGGTGTTTGAAATTCAAACAAAAAATTGCCCTAAAATCCATGAGATTTCAACCCAAATCAAAAACACAAACAACTGAAAATTGTGAGAACCAAAAAATCTTTCATCTAAGTATTAATTGTACATACGTTGGAGCAGTATTGAAGTCTGACTGTCGACTTTGTCACCTGTAATCGTCGACAATAAAAAAATGTGACATGGTAGTGTTAAATTACAATGTAACAACACAATAAACACTTTTAAATGTGCAATTACTTTTCTTGATTCCTACACAAATTAAATGATATGCTTGACACAGTGTGATATCACATAGTGTTTTTTAAGAACATGACGATGTTACATATAATGTAATACTAGACGTTGAAATAAAAGAAGAAGATATATGTTTAAAATTCTAATATTCTGATCTATTAAAATCGGAAACCATTGATATAATAAAACAAATCCCATGAAAAATGGAACTGTCTAACTAAACAGTCCATAAATTATAAAAAATGGTATTTCTATTAAAATAGAAAAACGTTGATATAATAAAACAAATCCCACGAAAAAAGGAACGGCCAAACTAAACAGTTCATCAATATGAAAAATATTATTTCAGTAAAAAAATAATAATAATAAATTGTCATTGTGCATCTAGATACAATACATTTCCAACTAATAATACTTATCTACAATTTATTTTCAGCAAGGTATTTCTCCACAAATAAATAGTTTATGTGGTACCTATCCACAATTTTCCGCTTTTTCTATTTTCAATGTTAAACACGTTACTGTCTCTTATTCTCAACCCAGCCCAATTCCAAAACCCAAGTTAAAATAAAAACATGGGCCTGTAGGCCCATGCAATCTCATAGACCCAAACCCAACCTATCCCCCTCCAACCCTCCGTATAAATACTCACTATCATCACAATCGCACCTAGGTTTTAGCTTCCTTCTCCGCTGGCATTTCCGTGAGTTCATCAAACCCTCTCTCTACTCCGTCGAAAATGGTGAAGGGTCGTCAAGGCGAGCGTATCAGGTCTCAGATCATCTGAAAACCCTAGCTCTCTGTATGTAATACAGTCATATGTATATAGATATTCTCTAACCTTCTTTCTAATTTGTTTGTTTATTTTCAGACTCTACGTCAGGGGAACTATTCTCGGTTACAAGAGGTGACTATGGAAAATCATGATATATGATTTGTTTGTTTGTTTGCTTGAATGCTGAGAATTTGTACTGTTTGTGGATAGGTCGAAGTCGAACCAGTATCCAAACACCTCTTTGATTCAGATCGAAGGTGTTAACACAAAGGAGGAGGTAGCATGGTACCAGGGAAAGCGTATGGCGTACATCTACAAGGCCAAGGTCAAGAAGGATGGTTCACACTATCGCTGCATTTGGGGAAAGGTCATTAGGCCTCATGGTAACAGTGGTGTCGTGAGAGCTAAGTTCAAGTCCAATCTGCCCCCCAAATCCATGGTATATTTTAACGGTTTGGTTTGTACAGTAGCACTATGATGTATGCCTTTGATTGAGATGATTTACGTATGTGGATAGGTTAGGAAGTTTTGAGTTTTGATTTCCATTTTTTTTTGTTTGCAGGGAGCTAGGGTTAGGGTGTTCATGTACCCAAGCAACATCTGAGGTACTTTCACTGTCTTTGAATGCTTCAAACTATGCTTCTAAGAATTTGGGTTTGAATGTAGGGCTTGCCTATATAATGATTTTTTGGGTGTTAAATGTTATGATATGATGTATATAATGTATCTCTCTTCTTGTTGATTGTTCTCAAAAGAATTTATTGTATATAATGCCCATTGCCTGGAGTGTGACTTCACTGATCAGAACTTAACACCTGTGTTTTTTGCTGGTCGAATATGATTCTTTGCACATTCAAACAGTTTTATAGCTAAGAGATGACATCCTTAATTTGAAAGATAAATATGATTTTCTTATGAGGCACAACAATTTGAACTACCTCTGCTAGAACATGTCCTAGTCTAGTAGCTAAAGATGTGAAAACCTGTTTTTTACACTATTTTGGAGAATGATGGACTTGGAGTGATTTTAGATAACTACGCTCCTGAGTAGTAAGCCCATCCATAGATGAGTGCTCTCCCATTCCAATTTAGCATGGATTATTTGCCTTGCGTAGTTGGATCTAGATGAAATATATGTTTGTGCACATATTTTTTCACAATTGCCAATAACAACAAAAATGGGTCTATATCACTTTACATGGCATCTACAATTTAATAACACAATGTACATGAGCCTGCCTTGAGTATTATTTCTCTAGATGCCATATTTCATGTGTCATGTGTATCTGAGTTTTATCTGTTACTTAGCGCACCGTGTCTTCTTTATGTGTTTTGAGTTGGTTTCTGATTTTTATGTTTTCTTCCCATGCAGTGACCTCAGAAAGTAGAAGACAGATTGAAGTCAATGGTGACTTGATATGATTTTAAGGCCTGAACAAAGCTATTAGTGGTTGCTGGGACTTTATTTTACTTGTTAGTTTTTATACAATTGAAGTGTTTTGTATTTTCTGGATCTACTCTATCCTTTTGTTTTGGTAGCAATTTTGTTATTTAGTACCAATGAGAACGTTTTATTTGAAGGGGACTAGTTTTAATTATCTGTATTTGTGCACCCAGTTCTCACTTTGTGGTTGAATTGAACATGATCTTTGAGTACATTTTCTGCATTTTGCATTTTAGGATAATTAGTACATTGATTCAGTTTTGTGAATTATTTGCATGATGACTTCAGGTAGGGTTGCCATGTTAGTGTTGAAGATTGTAGTATAAGTAGTCTTGAAGGTAGGTGTTTTTTAGCTGTTGCTATTTTGCTAGTAGTTTTGTTGTAAAATTCTTCCTTCAGCCATGGTAGGAGAATTGAAATTATTAACCTGAGAAGTGTCTGTATTTGGTTGTGTTTTTAACATTCCCCATGTGTAATTTCGAAGATTGTAATCAGTGAGCCATGAAATTGAGCATGGCATACAGCAGTGTATGTCATATGGGGAGAGGGAGAGAGAGAGAGAGAGAGAGAGTGGGGGAGAAGCGATGACCTTAAGAAGTAGGGGTGTCAAATGTGTGTTGTCTTTGTGTGACTTGCATGTGGTGTTCGTGTCAAGATTCATGAAAATAAATTTAGTGTGTTTTGAGTATTGAACATTAGTTTAAATTATTTATTATATGTATTTAATAATCGTGTTAATTTTATAATCGTTTGTGGTGGATTTGTATTGGATTTGTGTCAACGGGGTAGAGTTGATACCCATATTTAGAAGTACTTTTGAGGATGTGATGACCATTGTTAAGGAAATATGGTTAGTATTTGAATAAAATTGAACTGAAGTGAAGGACACGAGAAAACAATTTCAGATCTGTCTTCAAAGAGAATATGCACCTCCAGATGATAATTTGAGCCGGAGATTTGAGTATGGGTAAGCACGAAGGCGGAAAGAACTCAGACGTTGGCCCAAAAGATGTTAAATAAGTGAATTTCATTAACCTGCAGTAAGCAATTCCAGCAGATCAGCAAAACATCACAGCATATAATAAATAAAGAAAAGGATTTATTATTTGTATAACTCGATCAAATTGTTAATTACAATCAAAATTTTCAATGAAGAATGCCTGCCTGCCTGCCTGCCTTGTATGGTGCATGTGAAGCAGCATACTCATTATGTTCCCATGACAATTTATTTTCAAAATTTGGACGAAAATTTTCAACTAAATGATTAGATACAATTGGCAAGCGTGAACGGCACCAAAGTAAGAATTTGCTTTGGTAAGTGGACCAAAGCTAGATATTTTTTGGTAAATAAAATTGAATTTTAATTGATAGGAATGAAGCTTTACATCCAAGTGGAAAACACCCTTTTTAGTATAAAGTGAATTAGTCTTGGTCAAACTCAATTCTCATTTACTTATGAGCTAAGTCAAATATATGTTTGACTAAATTATTTATCAAATTTTATATTCTAAATCAATGCGTGTGGTTGGATCGGTGGGCAGCACAGCACAGTTTTTATCCATTTGTTAAGATAGAGGTGAATTTTGGTGTCCACCAATAGAATAACTATAATATATCTATATATTGCTTATAATAACCACCCATAATCTCATCTTTCATCATACTTCATTAATTATTTTTTAAAAAATATCATTATAACACTTTGTTTAATTAATTATAATATTCAAATGTTGTCTATAATAACCACTTAACTCTTTTGTTTAATTATAATTAATCATTTAAATTTTATTTATTCCATTCTTCTTCGAATTTTATATCTTTCTCTTTCTATCTATTTGCATATGAATAGAGTCCATGCCCGGCCCCAACCTAATAAAAATAGAATTGATTAATACCCATTAAAAAGAGAAAAGGCAAGGGACAAAAAAGAAAAAAGAAAAAAAGCAAAGTGGGGAAAAGAAAAAATAAAGAAAAAGATTCCAACTTTTTCATGAATTGATCAGTAGTCTTCTTCTTGGTCTTCATCCTAGTACTAAACAAACCCCCCCCCCCCCCCCCCACCCCCACCCCCGCCCCAACCCCCTTCAAAAAATATTCAATGTAATATTCCCACCAATGTCTCCTAGCATGATTTGTTGACTATAGAAATATTATGTGAATTTAGTCGATTTTATTATTTTAATTATTATCAATAATCACATCTAACTTCTATATACTTTTCACCCATCCCCGAATAAATATGGGGATATAGCTGATACTATGTTATTATTATCATATGGTGTGATCGTTTAATAATAAATTTACAAGTGAATAAAATAAATCATATTTTTTATATATATAATGATATATTTTTTTATGGATATTCAATTATTAAATTAAATGTTTTGCAAAACGGCACTCACGCCAAGTCCCACGTCTAGTAGTAAGATTTACTTCTCGACTGTTGAAATGTAGGATGATATTACTATCCTTGTAATTACCTTTGAAATTCTTTCCTATTCTAGAGACAATGTAGCTGTGCAGTAGGTGTGGACATATCATTATACGGTAGCTTAATTCTAGAAACAATAGCT